TCTTTCTTTCTTTCTTTCTTTCTTTCTTTCTTTCTTTCTTTCTTTCTTTCTTTCTTTCTTTCTTTCTTTCTTTCTTTCTTTCTTTCTTTCTTTCTTTCTTTCTTTCTTTCTTTCTTTCTCTGCCTTTCTCTGGTAATACAACTGTGACCAAATGTTTCTGTGCAACAGCATTAGTGCAAAAGAAGAAACTGCAATCTTGATATTATCTATACTGACATTCTTCCAAATATAAAGATACTTACTCATCACTTTTAATAACAGCCGTTGGGGTCAAAAAAAGGTGAAGAAGTATTGATAATGATCTCCTTATTACCATTTCTCATTTGAATCAACATCAGAATGCTGTTTTTCTTAAATTTTCACCTAAATATTTTGTTGAAGATTTATATTACCATAGAAAGCAGTATATAATTCAACAATAAATGATGAGGGAGCATTAGAGACAGCATCATTGTTGAATACAGGAGTCATTAAATGCATCCAGTCATACATCAAACACCTATGTAAAAAACAGTTAAGTATGTGTCTCCAGGACAGCAGTTGTATAGGTTTATGTAGGTACAATTTTGCACAGTGCCTGCTCACTGTTTCTTCCCAAACCTGTGCTTGGAATGATTCCTTTTTTTAAAAAAAAGATAAACAACTCCCAGAACCCTCATGGGAAGATTTCCAAGCTTTTCTCAAAATGCATGTTTCCTAGCTATGCCAAATACAAATACAGTATATGATTGTTTAAACTAATAATATATAGCCATACAAACAAAATAAACACACACATTTCACACAGAGACCAGATTTCTCTATAGCAAAAAAAAAAATCTGCCTTCAACTTTACTGAGATGATTAATTCTGGCTGCAGGTTTATTGAGGTGAGGCAAACATGTTTGAAGGAAACTTGTAGACTCTTTGCTGTGAAGGGGTGAATCTTCCTGGTGGTTGGAGGGAGGCACTCTGTAGGAAGCTGCATAATGCAGAGAAGGCTGAAGCTGGCAGGGGTTGAAGCCAAGAGCCTAAAGGATATGGAACTACCCCTGCTCTCTCTCTCTCTCTCTTTCTGATAGCCCGCCATCTCTTTCTCCCTTCCTTCTTGTCTTCATTCAGTGCCCCAAGAAAGGCAACATCACCCTTGCAAGAGATCTCAAACTTAGCCCAAGGCCAGAACCTGAAAAAGTTATTTTTTTCAGATTACAGCTTCTAGAATCCTTGAGCCAGAAGGGCCAATGGCCAAGCCAGTTAACAAAAAAGAACCCCGCCATTTCTAAACTCTCCTAAGGATCATGAATGGTCCAAGAACCACTGATGGTTCATTCTGTTGTAGAAATTCAAGCTGAGGGAAAGGTAAAAATATAAGCCAGCTGTTAGGGTGCCAAGAACCAAGGAGACTGAAAATGTATCCCAAGCAAGATCCAGTATTTAAAATGAGCTTAAAGAAAAGGGACAAGGAACATCAAAATTGAAATCATAAAACAAAAATACTCCACTCAGCCCATCCCTGTAATACAGATGGTTGAAAGGAGTAGAAAAGTGTTTTAAACAGGGACATGGGCAGTACACAGTGTTTACTGAGAAGAAGTAGCTGAGCTGACTGATACAGTGGACCCTCGACTTACAGACGGCTCAACTTACAGACTTTTCGAGTTACAGACTTCTCTGGCTGCAAAATTTAGATTTGACTTGCAGCCAGAGAATCGACTTACAGACCAGAAAAAAACCAAAATGGAATAAAAATAGAATAAAAACCACTGGTTATGGGATTAATCCGTTTTCAGTGCATTGTAGGTCAATGGAGATTCGACTTACAGACTTTTCGACTTGCAGCCACCATTCCAATATGGATTAATTCCTTAAGTAGAGGGTCCACTGTAATAGCCAAAATTGGCTCAGCATGCATGATGTTACATGTCCTGAGTACGCATGACTGTAAGGGATTTTTGGACCCTGACAGTGATGCATTTTAACACAGATTGGAGCCAATAGTCCAAATTTGGCATAGAGATATCCAACAGAGGCATTTCACAGAACATATAATAATTCAAGTCTATACAGTGATTGGGCAAATACCAGTGATTACAAAATGACTATATTGTACAAAAAGGAAACACTAAATGGATGAAGTGACTAGATATTAAAACACATCTGATCCAGAGATGTTAGGGTGAAATGTTAACTCAAAAGAAGCAAAGTTGAATGAATTCTGAGATCAGTACTACCATTGTAGGACCTGGGTAAACTATAGGGGATTGGATGCAAACTCCAGGAGAGAGCAGTGGCTGAAGAGAAATGAACTAAAGTGCAGAGTTGCTACAAGGAGAATGAGAACAAAGCACACACACATGAAAGGGAAAAAGAACAGATAGGAGAACTACTGTACATGGAAAATACCAGCTGAAAAAAGATTTAGGGATGACAGAGATGACCCTGTCCTTAGTCTTTCTTGAAGAGAGGTGGGAAGGGAAGGATTTTAATCTCTGTGAGAGGAGTGTGAAGGATGGGAAGGGACTGATAAAGGAATGGTTAAGGGGTCCACTTTGCTTTCTGGAGGACTGTTGTTATGTGCTGTTAAATCACCCCAACTTATGGTGATACTATGAATGAGGAACCTGCCCTATGATTAACAGCCCTGTTGAGTGTGAGGGTTCTTCCTTTAAAATGGGTTGATCCATCACTTGTGTCCATGGCAGCTTAGACACAGGAGACTCTTGTGCTGTGTTTAAACACCCAACATTTATTTCGGG